TTCTACTTACATCATGTGGATGTAAGTAGCTCAAATCAGAACTCTGCACTTGAAAATAAAATGCTCATTATTGTTAGACAAAAGTAAAAACAAATGGGGAGAAGAAAGTGTAAAAGTGTAACTGGTGTTCTGTCGGCCTTCTGCTTTTCCTGTTGCACATTTGCCGAAAATGTTGAATGGTGCAGAAGTCAGTTGGCTCTTTGTATGTGGTGGCATTGTCAGCACAGAGAGAAGCAGGCATCCCGCTCTTTGTGCACAGGAATGCCACGTTGTTTCAAACAGTGATGAGGGCAGTCTTTTGTTGCAAGTTTGTGTTCCTGTGTTGGATTGCAGACGTGGGTGGCATCGTGGTGTGGCGGTCAGGGCAGGGTCTGCCACAGCTAAAGGCTCCAGACTGTAGAGCCCTCTCTGTGGATTGTGTGTGTTCTTCCCATGTTTGGGGTTTTCTCCTCTTCTGGCTTTCTCCCACTCTCCTAAGACGTGCCAGTTAGGTTAGTGTCCCCTAAAGCAGCTGCTGTGTGAGTGTGTGGGTTCCATTGTGTGCAAATGAATTGGAAAGTACTGATCAAAATAGTTTCCAATATTTGGTTTGAGGTTCTTTGTCGGCATTTGGCAGTTCAGACCCTTATCTGCTATAAATAAAGTAATATTTCACTTTCAGGTAGATGGGCATCCTCACCCTCACACTTCTAGAGGTGTCAAAAGATCATTTGTTTCTGTTTGATGTGTTCTGTTAATTTTATTTTTGATTTTTAATCACTTCCCTTTGTGCACCTAAAAGCTGTTAATATTCTTCTTTTTTTGTCTGAGTGGGTTATGCAAGTTTAGACACTCTTCCAGACTTGTTTCCCACCCTTTTTCCACATACACATAAATAGAGCTCTTTGGTCAGGTGACCGGTATCTGCCAATCCAGTTTCCTTATTTCTGAGCTGTTACAAGATGAGGGATCCAACTTCTTGTCCCAAACGGCTACTCTGTGCTAAAAACAGAAGCATGATCTTGTGGCTTTTAAGAACAAGGGTATTCCAGTTCATCTGGCTGGTTATTCAGTTCTTTTTATATATGGAAACACATATATAACACATTTTGAATAAATTATGCAATTTTTTAATTTGTATTACTTTTTCTAATTGGTTACTTTCTTTTGGCAGAGTTAAATGAAAATGAACAAGAATATACAAGTTTGGACATTCCTTCATGTATTTTAACCATGAAAAGAAAAACCCTTTCTATCCTATGTGCACATTTGATTACTCATAGTCATCTCATTGAGCCACTGTCAATCACCATTTATCACAATTGGATTTTGCAAAAATGCTATAGTTATTGATTTTTTTAATGTGCGTTCTTTGAAACGGCAATTAACATTGCATGAACATGCTCTTTCTTTGATGAGAAATGTTGTCGATTGCTCTTTAAAAGGATGATGTTTCATGTTTGCAGCTTATGAGACTTTCTGTCTGGTATCTTCTAAAGTAATCTTGCGGCAGCTTATAATCTTTCAAAGTACCTCGGTATCGCAAGGTCACAATTACAGTGCAGGAGCACCTGAGTAAGATTTGTTCTTCTATCGCTTCATGATCTTTTGTGGACAATATTTTATTTTGACTTTGCAAATCATGTCTTTAGTGAGGTCCTGTTTGTATTGTGGTTAAATCATAGTCATAAATCAGCCATTGTAACATGAAATCCCCTTATTTATAATTAGTTGTGGTCAAATTTGTTTTTATAGGTTCTGCTCCTAAAATGAAACATTGTATTGTTGTCCTAATCTCTTCGTTGTCGTGATTGTGTTATTTCCCCAAGGGGATAACAGCTTGAATTGAACTCGAAATGTTTTAATTGCTGAAGTTGCTTAACATAAGATTTCAACCATTGATGGCTGAGCAGACAGATCCTATAAGCTTTTAATCTATCACCTTGTTACATTACTTGGGACCAGTGCACTGGGTGATGCGCTTTGTTGGACGGAAAAGGAAATGTTAATCTCCAGATTAGAATGAAACTTCTGAAGAGAAGTTGAAAGGTGAGAGGTAGTAGCTGTGATTTAAAAACAGCATGCACAAATAAGTTATACTGTTAATAGAATATTAACAGTCTAATATTGATTTTAGACCATGTAGAACTTTGTCTTGGAATAAGCGTCAATAAAACAACCATTCATATGTTTTTGTGTTCCTCTGTAAGCAAAGACCGAAATTACGATTCCTCCTGTACTCCATGTTTTAGCTGTGGATTCACAAGACATTTATTATGATTTTATGTTATGATTATCTATATGATATATTTTAGTACTCTATCAAAGGCAGGAGTATGTCTTTATCTTAGTAGGGCTGATTTTGCTCAAAAATGAAACAACTGGGGCTTTCCCCATATGTTTGCTTCTCTATAGTCTATTGTTCCTGGGCCTAATGAATGCTTGCAAAGGGGATTGATAAAGTCTGTGACACCAGCAGGCAGCCAAGTTAGGAACAAAGCCATATCAGTGCGCAAAAACAGCAAGTAGATGAGGCATCATGATTGCAAGCTGCTCCCAGTTTTGTATCCTGAAAGCTGTAATGACTGCTCTAAGCATTAAATAGGCTGCCCACGGGGAAGTGTTCATTATGGTTATGTACCCTGTTCACCAGATTATTTGCAGTTATGAATACTGGAATTATAAATGGCCATCTCTGCATTGTGTAACTGGTGGAAAATATTATGATGGTCAAACTTCTCTAAAAGAACTACACACTTCTTTAAAAGAAGGGGGCTTTTGAGATGGTTTCAGTTTTCTACTGTTTTAAATTTAAGATCAGTAGAGCACATTGTAAACTGATTATTGTCCTGACTGGACGTGTTAATGTTTTCAAATAGTGGGGCAGTGGTGTTTTTTTTCTCTAGGATTCCAAAAAGTAACACTTACAATAATGTATTACATCATACATTCTATTCCATCCTTCCTTACCCATGGAAGGAAAACAATAGGAAACGTTCCAAAAGTGAAAAGTGAGGACGGTACCACTTAACAAGGTAGTTTCCTTTGAAATGTTAAATGTGTATAATTCAACCTGATAGTATCATGAGCTCTAAGGGTAAAATTAAACCGCATCTTCTGAGAAGATTTGGGTTCCCAGAATTAAGAACACTAAGTCAAAACTTCTGTATTTCAGAGTATTTTAAAGTACTCGTTTACTTTGTGTGTTTTGGGGAGGGGGCTTGCATTTCATAACTTAAAAGTCGGTTCACCCTGTTGTGTATTCAGGTTGATTGCCTTGTGTTATTGTTTAGTCTAAGCACAAGCTGGATTGCTTTTGGAGAAGGTACTAAGATGAAGTGCAGTGGAGGAAACATATCGGCGATGCACAGTGCTCTGAAGACCCATTAATGAGGCATTGTAAACTGCTGAGACCTGTGCAGCATTGACACTTTTCCTTTCATTTCTGTGCATTCGCCCTGAGTGAACCTGGATGGGAAACATACTTTACTGGTTTATTTGGAATAGCAGATGGGCATTGTACAGTTAAAGATCACACAGAGAATGGCAAAAGAGTATTTGCAAGGCTTCTGAGCAAGTTAAACACTGAGAGGGACAATGAGTTCTAAGCAACCCCTTTCATTCGGATTGTATCATAGAAAGTAGGCAGCTCTTGTGTGTTGGTTGGCTAACTTCAAAGAGGTATTGCTCTGTTGTGGAATTTATGGCCCTGCGTCAATAGGTGCGGCTGGGCAGTTTGCTGCAGTACATGATGGGGAGCTGCAAGAGCTTGCCTAACGTGTTAGACAGGGAGGGGAGAGGAGACAAAGGGGGATAACCGTCCTTTTAAATGTAGCCCCAAATTAATTGCCATCACGAAAATCATAGGATTAACCACATGAAGTGGTTGTTAATAAGATGTTAATAATTCTTTTCATATTTGCAGATTGGCAAGCAACTGCCATAGTTAAAGTTCCAAGTGGAAAAAGGATGCCTGGAATAAATAGGAAATGCTTTCTGCATTGAGTCTTACACTAAACAGATGCTAGTAATGTTAGAGGGCTGCATTCTGAACACATTTATAATGGATGAAGCCTAGAAACTTTTTTCCCCATTTCAATTCCTAGAAGGTATCTGAATTAATAAATATAGTTTGGTAATACTATTCTTCTCAGGCCTGTCTAATTTAGAGAGAATGTGTTAATGTGAACAAAATGAAATGTTTAGATTTTTAGGATTAACGGAGGTTATACACTATTGGGTGTCCAGGAAAATAAAGGAATTTGCTTTCTTTTTTTTTTTCCATTTAAAAAGCATTAATTTTGTGTTCGCTAAAGACTGTTTTTTTAGTTGCTGCTTCTCAGGAATGAGCCATTGCTTCTGCACACAGTTTCTTTGTACCTGTGGTGCAATAATTCGAACTTGTCAGTGCGGCTGAGCTCAGTGAAGCTTGATGCCTTGGAAACTGAGATCTCCAGCTCTCTATGGGAAGCAGCATTGTACACCACAGTAAATTCATGCAGGCCTCCACTGTCTCCGTACTGTTACTTGAGAAACTGATCACAAAGGAGTGCATCTAAAGGATATAAAATGCTGATCATCCTTGTGTTTAGCACTACAGTGTAGTCCAGTACTCTGTACAAAATGTATCATTAGTAATTTAATTTGGTGATTTCTGTTTAGAGCCTATGCTTTGCAAACCTCCCTTGAAACCTAAGAACATTAGCAGCCGAAGAGCTATATGCTTACAAAACTGCGGACATAAAAATCGTATACTTGGAATTCAGGGAGCTTTGACACTTAGATTGTGAGGTGTCATGAAAGGGTTAACTCTGTCTATAATGCGTATTTTCAAGGTTGTGGTTTCTGTCGTGTGTGTGTTTTTTTTAATCTGATATTTCTATGTTAACAGCTGACAATTTACTGTTTATAGTGTGTTTCTTAGGCTATCGATTGTCTTGCTGGGGAAAAATGCAGCCTTTGCGTAATCGGCCAGCAAAGTCGACCTAGTGTGTTGACGGCTTGTCTCTTTTGTGCTCCAGACAATATCCCAGAAGACCTGCAGGACCCATTCTACACAGACCAGTACGAGCAGGAGCACATCAAGCCACCAGTCATCAAGCTGCTGCTGTCCAGTGAGCTGTATTGCCGTGTATGCAGCCTCATCCTTAAAGGGGATCAGGTGGCAGCTCTGCAGGGACACCAGTCTGTTATTCAGGCTCTGTCTCGCAAGGGCATCTACGTCATGGAGAGCGATGACACCCCCGTGTCGGAGTCCGATCTCAGCTGTGCCCCCATCAAAATGGTGAGTGAAGTGGAGCAGTTAATTGCTTGAGTACCAGAGGGCACACAGAATATATTTCTCTGCTGGTGTCAGGTGGGTGCTGCTGCTTGGTGTCTTATGGTTGCACTCCTGAAAATGCTATATCAGATGATTGTTAAAGCTTATTAGTACTCAAAACAGACATCAGTGCTTTTTGTAAATGCTCAGTAGTACAACATTCAGCACTTTTTAAAAGCTCTAGGGGAGCAATGTATGGCGCTGGTTAGGCCTCCGGACTCCAGTCCTGGGTGGGAGGCCATGCTTTTCCCTCAGAAAAACTTCACAGAACATTTCTGTAGTAAATCCCCTGCTGTATGCATTTTTATTCTCGAAGTCATAATGGTAAATTATAGTTTCTCAATTCCCTCATCTTGTTCAGACGCATGCTCCGTTTTTTTCTGCCTTTTTGAAAGAATTTTAAATCTAGGACTTAATAGCATTACTCACTAAACTTTCTTTATAAAGGATTTGGTTAAATTATTATAGCACGAGTTTTCTTCCACTTTTCAGGATTATTACTTAGATATTTCAATGAGCTAGTTCAATGTGTGAAAAATATTCAGACATTTTGTGCAGGATTTTTAAATGTCAGTGTTATGATTTATTGGTCTATATAGTTAAGTTTCTGTGTTTACTTGTTACAGTTTTTGTTTAGATAAGTTGATAGAAAAGAACACGGTGAAAATAAAAGTAGTGTAGAAATTATTGCTGACATGAATTGCCTTACAGTTTACTCTCTTCATTTGTCAGAATAACTGTACAAAGCAATCATGTTTCCACTGTATAGAAAATGTTAGGGGATGCTGATGACTGTACTTCAAAAACATAATCTGAATTAGAGGAAACTACCGGCAAGTGTACAAGACCACGAATGAAACCTTTTCTGTCTGATTAAAGTTACTTTAGAAGTGACAGATTGCTTTCAGAGCAGTTTTCATTCCCAGTGGGTTGAGTGGTGATTCAACTACTTTTTTTTTTCTGAAATAACCAAGTAGATAAGGGAGACCAGGGTGACATGTCTCAGTGAAAGAGAGCTAGTTTGAGGATGTGCCTAAAGCAGTTCTTCATGCAGGTGATCACTTATCTAATTCCTGATGTCATTTTGTGAATAAGCCATTGTGTAGTTTTTGCTTATCTTCAAAACCTGAATGTATCATTTATCTTTGTGATGTAAAATTTAACAAAAAATAATCTAGACTCTTACGCATTGAGCTCTTTTTGTAGATTATTGCTAGTTTTATGACTGGTGGAAAGCTATATGTACATAAAACAATACCTTTTTCAATTTTATTTTTTTTTAGGGAGGGTAATTTCATAATCTATAATTTGAACTGAAGTGTCAAGACCTTTGGATGTGAGTCTTGTTCCCATGTGGAGCAGGGCAGCTTCTTGTTCTGTGCCCTGGCTGCAGTCAGTCAGTCAGTCAGGCTGGTGGGGTAGATGCAGAGCCAGAGGGAGGAGTGGCTCAGAGCTCAGAGGTCAGTGGTTGCCTGGGGAGGTAAAACTGAGAGATTATTGGAGATTCATGCAGTGCTGACAGCTGGTTTTGGGACAGAGGAGGTTAGACAATGTTTTGTGGCACCAATCCCAGTGACTTTAATGGAGATTTAATGATCATTTCCCAAACCTTGTTGCACTTTTGTCGAGCAAAGAGTTGTTTTCATTTATTATTTCATTAAAACCTGTTTAGTCTCTTAATGGGATAATCAATATGACTATTTTGAATAGTCTACATGTTTATAAATGGTTCCCTCATCTGTTTTGTTCATTTAACTTGTTTATGCAGAAACCCAGTTTCTATCCATGTGGTGATATTGACATTTTTGGGGCATAAGTAGGTCAGGAGACACTGCGGTGAACTGTCATCTGTCACATTGGATGGGAAGTTATTTTTTTCCATAAAGACCATGATGGTTGAGACCTTTTTAGTAAGCAATCAGTAGGTATGATGAATGAAATGTCTCCTTGAATTAATTTACAGAGACATGAAGTGAATAGTTTTTGAAGCATCAGATCAATTTGCACATACTGTATTCTATTAAAACACCTCACTGTACATCCTACTGCTGCTATGGAAACAAATATTGACGTATTTGTTTCTCACTTTCTCTATTTTTTTCCCCTTGGCGGGCTTGTTCCAGTTACAAGGAAGTGTTATGAGCCGAGAAAGGTACAGAAGTGTATGCAGGGATTAATCATACCAAGATGCAGATCCTTTTAAATGCATAAGTTTTCCAAAATGTTTCATGTGCTCTTGATGAGTGCATTTACACAGGACTGACTTGTATGGTTTCCATAGTTACTACAAGGCCCTGTTAGCTTCGGGGTGTTCTGTAAATCACATAACCTGATTTGGTAGAACATTTTTGATAAATTTTATTTGGAAGCCCACCCATATTTAAATTTAAAAATAACTTTATGTATCTTTTTTCATGCAAAGACTTCCAAAAGAGTTTCCCGCATTTTCTAAAGAGTGAAAATTTAAATGTATTAAAATGATAATAGCAGCAGAACAACCAACAATAAAGTAAACGGCAAAGTATAGCAGCCCTCCACATTTTCTCTGGACTGGCTACTTTTCACTGGTTAGATTTTCTTGGATTCCTGATTTATATTTTTAACTTTTTTGCTTAAGCAGTGTTTATCCTAGATACTGTATGTCTGGGTGTTGATTTAGTTTTTTTCTGATTCGGGTTTCTTGGATGTATGCAAGGGTCTATTTAATATGAAAAGCAAGTAAAATGCACATCCAAAGTAATACAACTTATTACCAATGTAATAACTCTTAATTTTATAATTATCAATACACCTCTGTGAGGTCACTTTTGTGTTTTGTGATGTGTGTGTGTATGAGACTGCTAACATAATAATAATAATAATAATAATAATAATAATAATAATAATAATAATAATTGCTTACACTTATATAGCGCTTTTCTGGACACTCCACTCAAAGTGCTTTACAGGTAATGGGGACTCCCCTCCACCACCACCAATGTGCAGCATCCACCTGGATGATGCGACGGCAGCCATAGTGTGCCAGAACGCTCACCACACACCAGCTCTCAGTGGGGAGGAGAGCAGATGAAGCCAATTTATAGAGGGGGATTGTTAGAAGGCCAATGGGAAATTTAGCCAGGACGCCGGGGTACACCCCTACTCTTTTCGAGAAAAGAGTAGGGGATCCCTGGGATTTTTAATGACCACGGAGAGTCAGGACCTCGGTTTTACGTGTCATCCGAAGGACGGCGCCTATTTACAGTATAGTGTCCCCGTCACTACACTGGGGCATTAGGACCCACGTGAACTGCAGGGTAAGCCCATCCAGGTACTGACCAGGCTCACACCTGCTGAGCTTCAGTGGGCTGCCAGTTGTGAGTTGCAGGGTGATATGGCTTCTGGCATGTCTTGCATGATAAGCCTGTCTGCAAATGTCTTGCTATGAAGACCTCATATCTTTGCTTTGCATTTAGTTTTAAAACGTATCGTGAAAGATGTGCACAGGTTTCCTTAGGAACCTTAACAGCACAAAATATTTGGTACCAGTTGCCATATGTGAGTGCAAATGATGGAGAAACAAGACGATGATAAGGAAGTAATTTAAATATGTAAATAGAGGCCAGGTCTAGAATAATTTAAACATTAATGCTTCATATCTGTCATGATAAGTTTTTCTCCATTTTGAAAAGTACATAATACCTTCCTAGAATTTTGACTGAAGATGGATTCTTTTGCCAGCTGACTCCTAAATCTAGCTGTCAGACTGAGCATTTGAGAATACTGGGTAAGGTCCCTTGCCAGTGTAATATTTTTGTCTGGAATGGCCTTTTTAAATTAAGGGGAAAGTTTGCTTTTAATGCCACTTGTTTCTTTAAAAAAGCTGTTTGGTTTCAGTGATATAACCAGGTATCCTGCTTGTTCGTTCACTAGATGTATAAATGCTTATTTCTATCAGTAGTCAAAAGGTCAGCCTTGATTCAGGGCTGCATATGAGCAAATAGTTTTCACACATCTGAGTTGCAGCATTGCAGCTGAGTTTATTTTAATTTTTTTACTTAAGTCACTTTTTTTTCCCCTTTCATTAAGGCTTTAACCTTTATTTGACACACAGATAAAGCTACATTGGGAACATTTGGAAAAAAAAAGTGCGCGTTTTGTGGGAAATATGTCCAAGGTGCAAGGTGTTGATTATAATACACAGTGTATTACAGTATGGGAAGCATCCCAAAAGATGGTTTGGTGTTCTTATCCCACTGTTCTTAAGTTACCTGTCAAGGGGTTTCCAAGCCACTAAAACCTTGATATGATTGGGGAAACAGTCACTTCTTCTTCATCAACATGGATCTGACATTTGGTGCCTCTAACCCCTGAAAGGCCTAGCTGATTAAATTATTTTTCTGACTTTTTCATGTAGTCTCTCAAGGAAAATGCACTAGTCAAAAACACATTTTAAAATTTCACCATCTATGAATGTTGACGTTGAATTAAGACTGTGAAAAGGCAACCAAATACCAAAGGAGCATCAAAGCAAACATATCTTCCTCATCAACTTGTGTACTTGGTTAATATTTTAGGGATCTAAGTCTAAAACATTTCAATCTTAAATGGGCAACATTTAGACCTGTTACATTAATCCTGACAAACCCTGCGCTTTTCACGTTTTTGAACTTCTGAACAATATACCTTTATCAGTATAACTGTATATATTGACAATACAAGAAGTGTTTTTATAAAAAAATGTATTTGTGCTGTTATGATATTTGGAAAGTGTTTTAAAGGTTTTATTAAAATAAGCACTAGGCTTTGGTTACTGGTCAGCCTCTTTCTGATAATTCATCAAACATATACTCAATTCTACACTGTCCTCCAACATGTGTTATACTACGGACTTTGATTAAATGCTGTCTACCTCAATTTACTCCTGGACGGTACTTTGTGTTGCACATAAGCATGTATGCTGCCTTGCATAATCAAGATTAATCACAAAGCTTGTTTCAGGCTTGTAAGGCATCCCAGCCAATAAGATTGAGTTGTTTGGTATTTATATAATAGCAACACCCTAGGAATTGTACATATGTAGTGTTTTATGGTAGATGGTCTTATTTTTTTCAAATATTGAAATAGTAGACCAATTTAAATATTTGTTTTTAAATTGCTGGCACTGAATCCTACCCCAACACTGTTTACGTTATCATATGCCTTGGTAGTATATAGCACTATCCTGTCTCTTTTTGTCAGATCCTTTTGTAATTGTAATAAGCTTTTGTAATTGTGTCTGGACCCCAGTTAGCAGACAGATTCCCTTCTGTTTTTAACTGCTATTATACCCTAAAACCTGCAAGCATTTTACACTGGTGGTATGTTGGCTAACTGTTAATATGTAGTGTATTTTTGATACATTTTAAATTATAATCGTGGTAAAAGTTATTACACTCTGCAGTACTGAGTAACAGATATTGGGTGCAGATGTAGTAAAAAGTTCACTGTCCAAGGAAATAATAAAGATGTGATGTAAAAAAGCTGTGGGATTAAAGAGCAGTTTGTATCTGGTTTTAACTAACCGCAATCTGTCCCATAGTCTGTAGATGGGATTACTTTGCCTAAGAGGGTTGTGCATTTGGAAAGCTTCAATACTATTTAAGGCTGGCACTAAGTCATACCTTTCTTAGCTGTCCTGTGCTTGTACTCGTTTGTTTCTGAACAGTCTTGTCTTCAGAGACCACTGGAGTTAGCTTTGTGCAGCAATCTGACTGCCAGAAAGCAGGATTTTACTTTTCTAATGAATTATATTAGATCTTTTGTTAAAACATAAGAATATTCAGAATATGATAGTTGTTCGATTTACAATTTGCTAATAATGGCTCTTGTGATAAGATTAACGAAATATGGATATTTGGAAAGGCTTGAATGGAAGAGATTTGGTATCAGGGTAAGTTCATATTAACAACTCCTGGTTTGTGTTTGTCTACTTGTTGCTTTTTTTGTATTGTTGTGTGACCATTTGTTATTTTAAAATACTGTGAAATTCATTTCACTTGCCAAAAGGGTTTGTTTAGTTAAAAAAATGACATTTGATTGAAGATGAGTGTAGTCCATTATTTTCACTTTTTGAATTGGTTTCTCTTGACAGAGTGCACACATGCCAATGATCGATGCCCTAATGATGGCCTACACAGTGGAGATGATCAGCATTGAAAAAGTGGTTGCCAGTGTGAAAAGATTCTCCACTTTCAGTGCCTCTAAGGAGCTTCCTTTTGACCTGGAGGATGCAATGGTCTTCTGGATAAATAAGGTATGTGGTTTAGCAGGGGATCCATGAGTGGATCCATTTTACAGGTCAGCCTAAATCACCTGTTTCTAAACATTGGGAATACCTGTAAGTGATCAATTTAGCAATTTCATCAATTTATAAAGCTTTGGGCTCTGAAGATTTAAGAGTTTTGCTCCATCAGAATTAAAATGCTCCATATAATAGACACTTTAATGTCTATTAGTCAGTGGTCAGTAGGTGGAGATGGGGGTTTAGAGCTTATAGGGTTTTTCACAGATAATTCAAATATTTTTGAAAATATTTTTACAGAATGTACATTGTAGTGAAGATGATGTAGGTATCAGAGGAATACTTTATTCATAGGCCCTATACAGAAGTAGGATTTCTTTCCATATAAATTTGATGTTCTATGACAATTATGTCAGCCGTCTGGTAGGCAGATAAAGTTAAGATGGATTTGTGCATTGTAGTAATACTATATTGATAAATATATACACACCTATCAGTTCAGCAGAATTACTGTACTATATATGTAAAAAAAATGTAATATTTGGCAAGCTTTGCATCTCTCCCTACACTGCAAAGATAAGCTTAGTTCTGCCCTCAGAGAGCAGATCTTTCAAAACAGCCTCTGTACAGAGAGAAAATCAATTCTTGTGCTGTTGCTCATAATCTAACTGTTGGCTTGTTATGGTGTTTGAGTGTTTTGAGTCCTGGTCAGTTAGATTTATTGTTTGCACAAAATTAAAGCAAATAGGTTGTCAGCGTTTGCAGGCATGGGTGATTCAGCACTTCAGGTAGGGTCTAATTACATCTTTATCAATGATACATTAGAGCTGGAGTAATGCATTACATCCAAAGTGACTGCTGGAAGCTATGATTTTGTGACATCTTTTCTCCTCCTTTCTCTTACAATAGGGAATTCTCAAGAAGTGATTTTGTTTTAAAAGTCCTCTTAGGCTACTTTAGACATTTGCTAAAAGTTCTAAGAAATTTCTTAAAGCATGATTTGGATTTCCTATGTTCTCCTTTCTTCTACAAGAATCCTTATGTGATAATAAGTTTGTTTGATCACCTGTTTCAGAATCCTTATTGCAGATATTTATTTAAGTTAAAATTGTATTTGTACTAAGGAAGTGCTTAGTCTGACCTCTGTAACCAGTATTCTAGAGTATTGCATAGTAAGTGAAGCTGATGTATTTCAGAGGCCCTATAATGAGTAACTTGAGGAACCTTTGGCACAATGTGGAGGGACTATCTGTAATCATTTGTTCAGGGTTTGGTGGGAAGGAATGTAATGCCAGAAATTGTTTAAGCTGTATTTTGACAGTCCTTCTACAATATTGGCACATGCAGGAATGTATATAAATTGGCATAATGTAATGTGAACTTTGTGAAAGTGATTTAACAGGTGTGGTAATTTTTCCACTATTTGACACAATTTCAGGATGATAACTCTGAATTGTCTTTTGTTTTATCACTGACAATTATGCTGCAGTGAATGGCTTTGTTAATTAAATTTCAGGTAAACCTGAAGATGAGAGAAATCACAGAGAAAGAGATAAAACTGAAACAACAGCTGCTAGAATCTCCAAGTCATCAAAAGGTAATGGATCACAATTGTGGTCAGATTTTAAAAAATGTTTTCAAGCTTAAATTTGGCAATTTTAATTATCTTTGAAGTGGGACCTGTTTTTTACAAAACATTAATACCTGAATACTCCTCTTTTGTGATGTTTACCAAAGAGACTTATCTAGACTTCTGGACATTGAGACCCCTAAATCAGTAGCAGTAGTAGTAGTAGTGAAAGACCAATATTCTTTCAACAGAAGGATTTTATTTTGTATTTGGACTATATATTTTAGTTATTTTTAATTTAAAAAACCAACGTGGTCCAATTTCAATTCCATGATCTTTATTAGTTAACAGAATTAATCACGGGAATGCCTTTTATTATGTGAACCTTTCCTGTTTTCCTATAGTCATAATTTGCTAGAAACATCCTGCCTGTAGTATGTGTTCCCACATTCCCCTGGAAACTAGTAATCTTGTATGTTTATTAACCTATAAATGACATGCATGTTAAGTAGATTCCTCAGTGAAAATCCATTTCTGGGTTTGATTCAATGGATTATTCCTTTTGACAAGATTGTTTGATTAACCCTTAAGGTGTTTATGCTAACCTAGATTTTGTAGTAGGTTTGATCCTGTTGATTTGCATCTGACTTTCTCTGCTGCTTTTCCTGTTTTCCTTTCCTAACTCCTACCCTGCTACTTGGATAGTCTCCCTCCAAATGGTATTGGAAACTAGTACCTGTAAGTTGATTGTTAGCTCTTTTTTCCTCTGTTAAAAGGCATTTTCCACCAGTTTCGCCATTCATCTCTTAATTTATGCCTCCTTCCCATAGCAATAAGACACACTCTGTTGATTGTCTGGGGCAATTGGCTCATCTCTAGATGATCTGGTTTAGTATTCTGTCCTTCCTGTGTATTTCAGAGGTGCTGATGACAACACAATGCTTTGCAGTGGCCTTTTGTAACTAAACTTTGCCAATCTCTTTGTTAAAACATGCTGTACACCATATTCACATTGTCCTATAAACTTGCAATTCCCTATACTGTGAGGATAATGCGTTGACAGTCCAATTGACTGTCTTAGACACTGAAATATCAAGGATTTGAACATTATGGATTTCCCACTCAGAATCTAGTTCAGAATGGTGGTTTCTTTAACACACTTATAAAAGATTTTCCGACAGAATATCACGGGGTTGTTCATGAATATGAACATAATACTTGCTTACATAGAGAGCTAATAAGACACCTTGCAGAATTTGGAGTGTAAAGCTGTGTGAGCTTTATCATTTCTCCTTATCTTTCTTCACTAAACTATTTCTATGTTCTTAAATATTGATACTACCTTCTGTCTGAACTCAGCCTTGTCTTTTGTATGTTTATTAGCCTGATCTTATGCATGCCTTAGCTCATTGCATGCTGGAGCCATTGGAATACTCTCGTGTGGTACAGTATGCTTTCTACTTACTGTACTGTTAGAACAAAGAAAAGGATAGTTGCTGGAAATGTCTCCTTAGACGCTTTGTACTCCTTTTAGTGTCATAAATTCCTTTATCTTCCTTAACATGCAGTTTCATATCTTATATTCCTTTTCATGTTTTCTGTGTAGTACAACAATAGCAGATTTGGTTCCTTTCTGGGGTTATGTTTTTAGTCCATGCTAATTTGCATTTGTGACAAGACACAAAATCACAGATCCGTTCTACAGGGGAAGCTTCCCTTTCAAATTACTGTCAAGTATTCTAGTATTGTATATCAAAGAAGCATTAGAATCTAAATGTACATTAAGTCCAGCCTGCTTCTTCTTTTGTACTGTTCAGACCGTTTAAAAAGCAAAGAGAAACATGAAAAGGAGCTCTAACATCTGTAAAAACAAATCTTTTCAACGGTGCCATGTTTTCAAATACATTGGTTTGCTTGATACTTACATCTGCTTTTACCACAGGCAATATAGAGTACAGCTTTTCACCCTTTGATTTCACATAATGTACGGTCTTAAAGCTCATCCTTTTTAACACTCACAATTAGTCAAGGCAGTGCAGGCAGGGATTAAACGTGACACAATGAAAGTTGTAGACATGAAGCAGTCCCTCTGGGGCTTCTGTTAGACCGTTACTGTGTACCAAGCTTCCTTACAGTCATTCTGTTTTAGATCCTGGTCCCAGACACGTGATGATTGGTAGATCCTCTGTGCCATTGATTTGTTGTCATAAAGCAGTTTTTGTATTCATTCTTTACAACTACAAATTTGATCAAGCCCTCCTGTAAAAATATAAATAACATTTTCATTGATGTTTTTTAGGTGCGTTATCGAAGGGACCACCTCACTGGCAGACAGCTGCCATACTTTCCTTTGCTAGAAGACCTGATGAAGGATGTGTGTGATGGTGCTGCGCTCTTAGCTGTTATACACTACTACTGTCCTGAGCTGATGAAACTTGAGGGTATGCTAGTGAAAGCTGTGCCTGTAAAATTGGTTTTAAATCCTGAGCCTGGTTTCAGCTTGCACATTGATATTGCTGATCTTTGTAACATGTAGTAAGGTGATCTTGATCTATTGTACCAAATCTGCAAAGGCTATTTGAACTTCATCTCATAGACTTTACTCTCGAGTGAAGTGTGGAATTTAGCAATGCATTAACTGTGTCAACCTTTTTTTTTTGTCAGATATCTGTTTGAAGGAGGTGACCTCTATTGCTGATAGCCTATACAATATACAGCTGCTGAAAGAGTTTGCTAATGAGTACCTGAACAGAGGCTTTTATCTCACTACAGAGGACATGCTTTATGCACCTTTAGTGCTAAAGGTAGGTATGTGAGAAAATATTTATGTGAATGTAGCTCAGAACTGACCCATTCTCAATCTAATTATTTTTGCTTTTTTTTTCTTTTTAGCATAATGTCATGGTCTTCATTGCTGAATTGTTCTGGTGGTTTGAGATTGTCAAGCCTGACTTTGTACAGCCAAGGGACATTCAAGAGGTTAAAGATGGTAAGAAATTGCACACAAGTGAACAGACCTTTTCTGAACCTGATAGTGTTGGTTAAATGATTTGTGTGGAAGGTCACGTAGGTGTGCTGCATTTTTCATCTCCAGTTTTAAAAGCATTCCTACTAACTTGTACAACCAGTTTCAGGTGTGGTTGCAGTAAGCAGGAAAGTATTCTAAATGATACATCATGCAAATTACATGGGCCATTCTGATAAATGCACTTTCATTGCTAGTGATTAACTGAAAGTTTCTGTGCTTTTCTTTATTTATAACAGGATTGGTTCCTGTTCTGTTCATTTGTTTTCACAGCTAGAACAGTGCTTCACCCTAAGAGTGCCCGACCTCCTGTCCCCATCTCCAATGCAACCAAGCGGAGTTTTATGGCAAGCCCTGCCAGTGTGGCCAGCCCAGCAGATGCCCCAGCACTGGTTCAAAGCAACTCTGAAGTCTGTAACAGGTACTACCTGCACCCCGAAGAGTCTGAGACTCTGTAAGTCTGTCTTGTTTCTGTTTAGCTCTTAGTTTTTTACATGTGCATGTCTGACGCTGGACAAAGCAGCTGAGAACCATTTTTAGCAATATCCAACTGGGGCTTTGAATTCAGGCATTTGATTTTCTGTTTTTGTGAACTAGCTTTTTCCTAAAAACAGAAAAAGGGACCCTTCAGTAGTCAGCTGTGATTGAAATACCATACAACAAGGGTCTCGGCACTATGGATCTGGATGCTAGAGGATTTCCTTCCAAGTAATGTCAAGACAGGAGCAAGCCAAAAGAGCAAATGCAAAAGCTTGCAATGCAGAACCAAAATCTTTTTAGCTGCTGCTGTGAGAAGCCAAGATAGGAGTTGCCATTTAACAGGAGTATTAGAGCAAAGTAAGAGCAGGGAGTGCCCTTGCTGTGGAACAAACACTAACAGGAAAAGTGTTTCCAAAACCTAATTGCATCAGGAAGCTCTTATAAGTCAGGAGGACAGATCATACATGAGTAAATAAGGACAAGGTTCATATTATGGTACCAAGGAGAGTTTGTGTCCAGTGGGTTTTGTGCCAAAATTTTAAATGACTTATTTGAAGATTTGTTTTTGTTGGAACCTAGATTTGCCCGGAAAACTTCCTTATCTCTAGCAGTCAAATCCCTATTCCAAAAAAAGCCTTAACATAAATAGTTGGATCAAGTACCTTTTTTGCCCCTGAAATCCTGCAAATGATGCACTAGGTGAGTGTGGGCAGCCTCTCGTCTGAGGGGATGTCACAGGCATGCATTACAGAATTAGAAAAATAAAGCTGGGTCAGGCAACCCCTGTTAACATGGCAAGTCCTGGAATGTATCCTTAAACTTCTTGAAAACTAAATTGTCTTCCAAAAGCAGTTGTCTGTCCAAGTGCTGTGGAAGCTTGAAACAGTCGCAGCTGCTGGATATGCTATTGTTATAGTGTGTGTGTGTGTGTGGTCTCTCCTGACTATTCAATCGTGCTGTGCCAGAGCTAGAAATCCCTAAGGAATAGGTTTTTAGTATAATGTCATGGACATATACCATGTAGATGTTGCTACAGAACCTCCAGGTTGGTAACCATGAATTTAGAATTGTCCTCAGTGTTCAGTAGCTTTTTCTGTTCCATTTGTACAACTGCTAACAGTTGTTTTAATATCCTAACAGTGTGGTATATGGCTAAAGCTCTAGTCGGGGGCTAACAATATATTGGTCAATTTATCTCCCAGTTATTTGATTTCTTAGAGACTTAAAAGTATTTTTTTCATGGTTAACTAAAAAGTCTAAAAAGTTCCTTCATATACTGCCGAACAACAGCAGAAAGATTTTCTCATAGCTACGTCTTTTGTGTTTGCCTGCTGTTGATGTTTTTGTTTCATGCATATTGGTAATTTTGTTAATTGGCTGTTGGTACATTCATTATTTAAATAGATCAGGTAATTTTTATTCAATAAAATTAAAACTTAAGTTACTACTGAAATTTAAAATCATTGGTTGATCATATTTTTTGTACTACAATGTAAATTGTACTTAAATGGGGTGTCATTCTTGGCTTTATCTCATTATGCTATTAACAATTTTAAATGTGCATTTAGTTCCGTCTTGACTGCATCAGTTCTTTACAGTGCTTACAGGAATATGTTTTTGGTTATATAAAGCAGATTAAGGCTTCCAGGTCTTGTCACCATTTCTTAGCCTTGATTTATATCCAGTTTACCTTCAACAATTTCAGCTTGTTTAAAACTGTACTTTTCTCAGGCTAATTGGATTAAAGTGACAATGCGTGGATTGTTGGCTGTCAGAAATGTTGAAGTGTTGTTTCACATGTACACAAGTCCTACAGAAGCTTGGAGGTGTTTTAAGTATCAAGAACCATGGCCGTGCGCCTTGAATCCGAATCCCATTTAAAAGGATGGTTTGATGTTTAATATTATCTTGAACTGTTTTCTGTTGTTTCTCATTTCCAGTTCCTTTTGTGTTCTGTATAGTATCAACTATTTTCACTAACACTTTTTTTAATGCATGAAATAACACATGATTTCTTGTGGAGTTAATGCTAAATGCACTTTCAGTCATTATGTAATTAACATACCCTTACAAAACCTTACCAAGTCGACTTATATGGGATACCTTCCTGCATCCTATATTTCTATATTTATAACAAACTAAAAAACGTTTTTCTGCAGTTTTCTGTAGTTCTGTCTCCAATGTTGAGCTCTTATACTTGTAGTCCATTTTGTTTAGTTTTTTTCAGCTTTTATTAGTGCTTATATCAGCCCTGCAGTACCCCTTCAATTCTGGCATATTTTAATCTGTTTTGTAATTTCTTTTATTTTCATGATTCTAATATGACTAAACTAATAGTATACAAGTATACCCCCACAGACCCCCACAGAGGAAAGGTCATATCTTTATTATTAGCATAAGAAGGACTCCTGTTTTACATATTTATAAATATTTTAAAAGTGCCTTTGCTATACTTTTTTCTTTTTTTTAGGACCCAGATAGTCTTCCCACATCATTAACAATGGGGCTAGTAATGCTCTGCTAATGAACAGATCTATGATGCAGTTTTATGCACCTTGAGTGGTGGTAGTTAATGGATTGATCTTGTAGATAAAATACTGTTGTTGTACTAGTCCTTCTTGTATCTCACTTGCACAGTTTCTCATCACAAATGCCCAAGGCTTTGTTTGAAACCACAGCACCAGCTGTATCCAGTTTGATAAAATGTGCTTAGGTAGCTATGAGGATGTCTGCATAAACATGTCATAGGATGTTTATCCCTGTACTGGTTATAAGGGGATAAAGCAAATGTTAAATCGAGTCAGCAGTAAGCTCCAAATTTGTTCTTTTAAACACGTTAATAATGCTCTGCCAATTAAGCAACAGATCAGTTTTATACAAAGAATTCTATAAGAAGGTTATGGTTTGGAAACTCATTACAAAAATGTATTAAACTGATTAAAAGCTGGAAGAATTTAAAGAGATTAAAAGGTGAAAGAGTTTATATGAGTTTTCTAATATATTGGCCATGAAGCAACATTACCATCTTTTTATTGAATAAATTGCATTGAAAATAAGATTTGGATTTCAAAAATAATTTTAAGCGCTGATTATTTTTTTCCGAAGAGTAACATCTTATTAATTTTGCAGTATTAAAGGGAGTCCAGCATTTAGCCCATCCCATCCTTTGCTTCCTCTGAGACAGAAACAACAAAAATCCTTGCAAGGAGAAGAAAGTCCAGGTAATATGACGAATTCAACTGTTTTGCTGCCCTCTTGTGGTGTGCTGGAAACACACAACAGTGCATGGAAGTTCCAAGTTGTCACCATGCATCAGAGCTTCTCAGTCCTAGTCCTGGAGTACCCATGTCTGCAGTTCTTAGTTCAATGCATTGGTGTTTGTAACAAATACCTTGAACTATATTTTTAACAATTTCTGCGCACAACATTTTGCAGTCTCTACTCAACCTGATTATGAAGAATTTCCTCTTTTATTTCTTACTTAACAACTCTTAATATGTTGTCAGCTGGTAATGAATAGGAGGGAATGGCATGATGTCATTCAGTTCCCATAGTTGAGTCAGTGTTATGTTTAAGATTTTAGATTGTAAACCCGAAAGACAATATAGGGGTTTTCTGGACCACGATTGAGAACCGCTGCCATACATAACAATTTGCTTGATGATAATGTCACAGACTAGTGATACTTATGCAGTGTGATACTTATGCAGAACACCAAATAATGCAGAGAAACTCATTCATCAGTTCTTTCTGCTTTAACCAGGGCATCGTCACCGATCCAACTCCCTCACACGAATGGACGGACAGCCCAAGGGAGCTGTGGTAGCCTGGCCAGAGAAGAAACAGAGGTACAGTGACCACTCTCAAATGCTCAGATGTGGCTTTCTATTTGAGCGGCCATTACCTTTGAACTAAAGGACCTTGTGTGATGTTTTACTGCATACCTTTAGTTGACTATGCAATATCACATAGAAAACCATTTTGGGATTTTCAGAAGTAGATTGTGTCTGACACTGGTGTTAAATTTAAGGAGACTTGTTCTTTTGTAGTTTTGATTAATTGGAAATCGCCCGATTTCTTGGCTTTATGATGTAAGTTCATTTTTTTACAGATTGCCTGTACAATATTCTATAAAGTTTACCAAAGTGCCGTCGAAATAGTCTAGAAATTTAGAATGTTCATCTTAAGCAATAATAACAGTAGCAATTGCAGATATAAAAAAACCAACCTAAAAGGCAACCCCTGTATATCTTTGTTTCTACAGACCTCTGTCCCAGCCGACACCATATGCTCTTCATTATGCCACAGATAGCGATGTGGACATGGCCTCAGGGGACAGTGTTAGTCTAGCCAGGTCCATCAGCAAAGACAGCCTTGCTTCGAATGTAGTCAACATAACACCCAAACACCAGCCGCTTACTGCACCTCGGAAGGTCAATGGGCAGGGATTGCTGGGGAATGTCAACATAGAGGATGATGAGGAAGAAGAACTAGTGGCTATTATAAGGTCTGAAGATGGACTGCACAATGAGGGTCTTCCTAACCAAGGTGACCTACAGCTGCAAAGCATTTCCTCAAGGACTGCAACAGCCAGGTCTCCGAAAAGAAAGGTGGAAGAAGTACCCCCAGAATCCAGATCTGATAGCTTTTTCTTAGAACCACTGATGCCTGCAGTATTAAAACCTGCGAAAGAGAGATCTATAAACCTTAACAAAGAGGATGAAAGTGGAGAAGGGAGGTACAGAGGGCCACCCTCCAGGAGAGGGGTTGATGGGCAATTGCCTTCAACAAAAAAGAAGGTTGGCATGACCACTGGGGGCGATCTCGATTTAAATCGCACCTTTACTCCAATTTCTAGTTCAGAATTTACCACCGCAACTGATCCCCCACTTGCAGAATCAACAGAGAGTGTGCATAGTGCTTTCAGACCTTTGGTCACCAGCAGTCTCGATCCTGCATCTCAGGAGCAGTTGGGAGGATTTTTCCTCCATGCTTGTGAGTCCGAGGATAAGCCATCTGCTTCCGCTGGCCGTGGCAGAAGTAGTCCATTTTATGCAGCTCCATCAACGTGGGAGATCAAGCAAGATTCAGATTCTGAAGTGCTTGATATGGATGAAGTTGATCAAGATTTTGAACTTAGTAAGGAGTTGCACCCTGTCAGACGGAAATACTTTGAGGAAGAGGAATCTGCTAAGCTCCAGGAGGATATGAAAGTAAAAGAGCACGAGGACAAAGATGGAGCCAGTGGGCGCTCGAGTCCTTGCCTCAGCACCATCTCCCAGGCCAGCAGTGTATCCATGGCAAGCGGCAGTGTGAGGATGACTAGCTTTGCTGAACGTAAACTGCAAAGGATTAACAGCCACGACACTAAATCGAGCACAAGCAGCTCACAAAAGACTACCCCAGATGGTTCAGAAAGCTGCCCTTTACCCCTGACCACCTGGAGACAGAAAAGAGAACAGAGCCCCACCCGGCAGAACAAAGACAATGTCCATGTCCTTGCCTCAGAGCTGGTGCAGCTTCACATGCAACTGGAGGAGAAAAGGAGAGCCATAGAAACGCAGAAAAAGAAAATGGAAGCTTTATCTGCAAGACAGAGGCAAAAATTGGGTAAAGCTGCTTTTTTGCACATTGTTAAGAAAGGGAAAAGTGAGACCCTCCCTCAGCCCCTAAAATCGGACTACTTTTCAAAAGAGGACCAAAAGGTCAATGGAGAAAATTTAATCATTTCTACACAGGATTCTAGAGCTAAGGAAGTGTCATCAAAAGATGAATTCAGAGAGGACATGTCCATAGAAAAGGACACGCAGGAAGGCAGAGGGACAGTTAGATGGGCAAGAGAATCTCCAGCTCCTCCAGGCAGTCTGGAAATGGACAACAAATTAAATACCACCATCATATTGGATGATGGGGCATCAGAACCTGACCTTAATGAATGCAATCGTTCAATTGAAATGCTGAATGAAGCCATAAGCACCATTCAGCAGCAAATGATGCAGCTTTCCTTGCAGCAGGACCTATTAATGAAGCAGAATGTCCCGTCTCCAACTGCTCCTTCTGCCAATGGGAGAAGCAACCCACCAGAACAAAAGGTTAGGCCTTCTGTCCATTTCGTGGAGCCATTTTCCCCGACAGGGAGCAGCACAATCCGTAAACCACCACGTTTAAGTTCAGGGAGGCCACCGCGCTCAAAACCAACTGACCTTAAAATATCAAAGGATAAGCAAACTGTCTCTCGGGTTATCACACCCACTCAGAGTGTCGAAACACTTCCTCATTTAAGACAGTTTCCAGGTAATAGGACACCTAAAGGGGAGCCAGAGGATGCGGGTTCTACAGACAGCACGCCTGCAGACTCTGGTAGCAGCACTTTGGACCGGGGCAACCTTAGACCTACTGCAACCTTCCGGCTTCATGGTGAAGCCAACCAGCGGACATTAATTCTTTCTGCTTCTAGAGATACAAACAATGTCATTTCTGAACAAACCTTCGATGAGTGTTTGCCCAACAACCTGCAAGAGTTGGAACTCAACACTTCAGACAGCTCTGGCAAGGAAAATGTTCCGTGTGAAGAGTCATCCAAAACTAAAGCTCATCTCATTGAGGTGGATCTGTCTGACCTGAAGGCTCCTTCAGAAGAAGGGAGTTCCGACATTCAGGATATGACTGCAGAGGTCATTGGGGATGGTGAACAGAAGTCTGTCTTGGGATTCTTCTTCAAGGTACAGTGTGTGCTGGATTGTGTGTATAGATCTGATTCTTTAATTGGAAAAGTTGCTTTGATTACTGCTTATAATTGTGCCTCCTGCATGTCTGTTCTGTGATAAATATATAGATTCAAGGCTTTTTTATTTGCTTGTTATAGGATGAACAGAAAGCTGAAGATGAGCTTGCGAAGAAACGGGCAGCTTTCCTCCTGAAACAGCAGCGTAAGGCCGAGGAGGCTCGTCTGAGGAAGCAGCAGCTTGAGGCAGAGATTGAAATAAAGCGGGATGAAGCCAGGTACAGAAGCTTAAGAGGCTTACAAGCAGGCTCTGAAGAAAGTTGCTCAAAATCAAGATCTAACAATGTTTTCCAAGATTCACTGTTCTAATGCACACTTGCTGCAATATAAACATTGCATGACCCACTACTCCTCCATTATTCAAAATTGCAACATCTTTTATTGAGAGTTGCAAATTCTGCACTAACTTCATTTCGCACTAACTGAAGTAGCTTCTAATATGATGAACAACTCCTAGTGTGCGACCCTGTGCTTTTTAGCTGTTGTTGGATTGCGTGGGATACTGACGTTCATGCATTCCACTTAGTATAAACTATTTAGGCTACAGGAAGGTTTAATTGCAATGCCTAAAGGACTGGAAGCTTTGCAGAGTTTGTTGTTGTTGAAATTATTTGATCAAGTATATTAAAGTGATGTAATAAGGAGGGCACAATGTTACAATTTTACAGACGTCAAAGAAAACCTAGCTCCTAAAGTAGCTACAGCGCCTTACAAAAGTATTCAGACCCTTGACCAGTTCTCTCATTTTATTGAATTACAAATCATACATTATAATTTAGTTCTCTTTTATATTTTTATTTCTAAGCAAAGAAACTCAACATGAATTATTTTAATGTGACATTGTTTTATGTAAGAAAATATTTTTAAGAAAAATAAAAAAACTGAAATATGCTGTTGGCATAAATATTCAATCCCTGTGTTGCAGAAGCTCTAAGTTTACACAGGTGAAAAATGATTGCCCTAATGAGTACACAATTGCCTTACAATTGGCCTTTACCTATGAATCATTATAATAACTGCCACATTTTCTGGTTAAAATCCCCACAGTTAAAGGATCAGATTGTGAATCTGAAGGACAGCTGTGAAAATGAAGACTAAAGAGAATTCCAAAGAAATTAGAGATAAAGTAAAACAAATGCATGGATTATGAAAAGGGTAGAAAACAATATCCAAGTGTTTGGGTGTCCCTGTAGGCAGTGTTGGTTTAATTATCAGGAAGTGGAATCTACATCCAGCCACCCAGACACTGCCTAGAAAAGGTCATTCCTCATATAAATCTGTGTGAACAAGAAGGAGACCTGCGAGAGAAGCCGCAATCACTTTGAAGGAGCTGCAGAGTTCAATAGCTGACAGCGGAGTTAAGGTGCACCACTCAACCATAACACTGGCCTGTATGGGAGGGTGGCACAAAAGAAGGCATTACTCAAAAAGAAACATGTGAAAGCACATCTGGAGTTTGCCAAAAAGCAGGATAGTGACCCAGTTGCGATGCGGGAAAAGAGTTTTTGGTCAGATGAGACCAAGATAGAGCTTTTTAGCCAAAGTTCAAAGCGATATGTGTGGCGCAGATCTAACACTGCCCACACCTCAAAAGACACCATACCTACAGTGAAGCCTGGTGGTAGCGGCATCATGCTGTGGGTCTGCTTTTCATCAGCAGGGACTGGACATCTTGTTAAAATAGAAGGAAGAATGGATGGTGCAAAACATAGGGAAATACTGCAAGAGAACCTGTTTCAGCCTGCTAAAAAACTGAAGCTTGGGAGAAAGTTCATTTTTCAGCAGGACAATGATCCCAAACACAAGGTCAGAGTAACACTGGAGTGGCTCAAGAACAGAAAGGTGGATGTCCTGCAGTGGCCCAGTCAAACCCTGATCTCAATCCAATGGAGATTCTGTGGTGCTATTTGAAAATTGCAGTGCACAGGCATTATCCAACTAACCCAAACAACCTGGAGCACATCTGCCTGGAAGAATGGGCCAAAATCATTTCTGAACAGTGTGTACAGCTGGTACATACTTACCCCAAAAAGCTTAAAGCTGTTATTCCTGCAGAAGGTGGCTCTACAAAATATTACTATGTGGGGATTGAATATTTATGCAAACAGCATATTTCAGTTTTTTATTTTTCTTAAGAATATTTTCTAACATAAAACAATGTCACATTAAAATAATAAATTGAGTTTCAGTGCTTTGAAATAAAAATATCACAGAGAACAAAATTTCAATGTAGGATTTGTAATTCAGTAAACCGAGAGAATTGGTCAAGACACTGTAGATATAGGCCTAACTGAATGTTGATGAATGTATGTGTAAGTAGATGTTTTCTTAGTTTTCATACTGGCTTCAAAGTGACTTTTTTCATATTGCAGGAGGGCTCAAGAAATATGTGCATGTAATTTAGCCTATTGATTGCAATGTTGGTAAGAGTGTGCACTTGGGTCATCCAGTTTATGATCGTGGTGCTCACACAATTTCCATTGCTTAAAGGCGAAAGGCAGAAGAAGATCGCATCAGGAAGGAGGAGGAGAAGGCACGCAGAGAGCTCATTAAACAGGAGTACCTACGGCGAAAACAGCAGGAGATGATTGAGGAACAGGGGCTTGCCAAACCCAAGACGAAACCCAAGAAACAGAGACCAAAATCAGTACACAGGGACGAGTCCTCAAGTGAGACGCAGTCCAAGTGCTCTTCGACTCGTAAGCATCTGTTTTCTCGTATTGCCATATTACAGAGCACTAATGACCTGTCTGCTGGCTGTGTCGGGTGTTTGTTCTGCTTTGCCCTGAAAGGAATTTTCAGGGTTACCTCAGTATTACAGATAGTAGTCTTGAAAGGAGTGTCATTGGTCTGTTTTGAAAAGTAAATCATTAACGGTTCTTTACCAGTAGTCCTGAGAAATTCAAACCTGTCTTAGCATGAGTGCAACAAAAAAAATAAGTTTCAAGGAACGTTTTGCTCAGTGCGGGCTTAACATCTGTGTGTTATAACAGGGATGTTAAAATAGGGTGAAGCATAGATGTGTTATGTTCCAAAGAGTATGTGCAGGTTATTACGAATGTGAAACACATTTTTAAACTCGCTGTGGGTGTCTTTGTATGGCTACTAACCCTTTGCATCTGTCAAAACCACGATCCATTGTATTTCATAGGATTTGTAGACTACTAAAGTAACCCCAAACCTGAAACACTTGGGGTACCCTACTGAGAGCACTCAGGATTGATTACAATAGTATACTGCATGCTACACATCAAGGTATAAATCTCCTTGCTTCTAAAAAAACCCTTTGTCCTGTAAAGAAGCACTGTCTTGATCACTGTCTGCTTTAGTTCTTCAGTTTCCCATGTGTCTTGTACACAGGACAGTCTCCCAGGAAAGCATTATGGATGGCCTTCCAGAGTCGAGCTGAAGTTGTAGGAGGTGACTTTTCTTCCAAGTACCCATGCACTGCATGTTGCCATGTGTCATTATTTTTTTACAGAAGTGGAGAGGCTGGGATGCAAAGGGTTATGATGTTATGAGTTATGTGCAGTAGGTTAGGGCTTTGTTCGAATGGTGGAGCCCTCCTGAACTACCTGCCTGACTTAAATAGTTCCCATTGGAACAAAATGGGAAAAACGCACTGTTTCACATACAGAATGGAGGCCCTTAGTTTGGAAGGCACAGTACATTATATTCTCAAACTTTTCACGGTTTGATTTCTCTCATCTTTACCTCTTATCTTTTTCAGCATTTTCTCTCGTTTTCTGCTGAAGCAGGGTCTTACTTCTCCAATGTGTCTTGTTCTTCTCTGTTTTCAGCTGATAATCTCAGCAGCGCTCAGTCTGGGTCCAGTCTGTCTTTAGCTTCTGCTGCCACCACTGAGGCTGAGAGTGTCAACTCTGGAGGAGCAGGCTCGCAAAGGTACGCCTTTTCTTTATTCCTGTTTCTCTGAAATGTTATCTTTGCTCTTCAATCTTAAACTAATCACTAGAAGGCGACATCCTTTCTAAGCCATTTCCTATTTTTTAAGGGGGGAGTCTGTGGAATCGTTCCCCGGGTTGAGCAGAAATGCCAGTCGGAACACTGAAAGGGACTGGGAGAATGCATCAACAGCATCTTCCATTGCATCTGTGGCTGAATACACAGGTAAAAACACACAGAAGGCAGTCAAAGCAATGACTTTATATTCTGGCTGTATGGTGAATGCTCTTTGATATCGTTAGTGGAATTAGTTAGTGGAATTAGGAAAAAAATAATCTTGTTTCAAGTACTGAGTATACCTGTAAGTTTAAATAAGGGAATTGTCATTTTTCAATAACTAGTCTTTTTTGTGCCCACTGCCATATAAAGTATTTCTGTTACAAGTTCTCTAAGATGGTGTTTCATTAATATATTTACACTGATAAAACTATTTTTCCTTCCCTTTCAAGGTCCAAAATTGTTCAAGGAACCCAGTGCAAAGTCAAACAAGCCTATAATCCACAATGCTATTTCGCACTGTTGTTTAGCAGGAAAGGTAAACGAGCCTCAGAAGAATTCCATTTTGGAGGTATGTTGAGCCGACCTGGGTGGTTGTGATAAAAATATAAATAAAAAGTTTTAGATTTTGAGGTGCATGTTAATGTAATACATTTATTAGTGCAGTGAAGAATTTTTAACTCTTTGGTTTCACATCTTCACAAATTGTGAAATGTTTGTTTCTCTCCAATACTAAAAACCCTTATTTATTCATGTAGGAGCTTGAGAAATGCGAGTCCAACCATTTGATGATTTTGTTCCGTGACGGCGGCTGCCAGTTTAGAGCACTTTATTCCTACTTTCCCGACACTGAAGAGATCCACAAGCTGACTGGCACAGGGCCCAAGAGCATCACCAAGAAGATGATCGACAAACTCTACAAGTATAGCTCAGATCGCAAGCAGTTCAATGTCATCCCAGCTAAGACCGTGTCTGTCAGCGTGGACGCTCTCACCATCCACAACCACCTCTGGCAAGCCAAGAGACCAACAGTGCCAAAGAAAACGGGGAAATGAGGAGATCGCTCCAAAACCTTGCTTTCATCCTGGCTGGACTGCATTGACATCCACCACGTATATTTTCCAGTAGATACATCGAAGACTCCTAGCATTTTCAGGTGTGACTTGCAAAACGGGACACAGTCTGGGATTTGGAAGAAGAAGGAGTATATTATTTTTTTGATATTTGAAAGTGTGAATGGAGAGACATCTGCTGGATCTTAATGCCATCCGTTCAGGGTTGTTAGCGTTTTGTTTTTTTAAAAAGTCTCTGCATGTGGCGATTTTTTTCTAACAGGTGGAATTCTTATTACTTGAAGTTTTTTTTTGTTTGGCACTAATTGTGGAGTTCTTCTTTCGCTGATTCACTCTGTGACGAGACGATAGGGGAAAAAACATTACTCAAGGGACATTTTCTCTCTATATCTTTGTCCGCTTCTTGTTCTAAGACATTTGTTATGAAGCTCCGGACTCTTCTTCCTTGGCGGGAGTACAGCACTGTACTTGTTCTTTCGCTGTAGTCTGACATCACATAATGCAAATGATCAAATATGTACTGCCAACTTGTCTCCCAACTTCTCTCAAAACATGCTGCTCAAAAAAAAACTATTTTAAAGAGGAAACAAATGCAGGAGGTCCATCATAGGCTTTCACTGATTGTGGTACTGTTGTCTATTTATTTTTGACTTTTAATTATAATAAAAGTCTGGTAATCATAAGGTAAACTCCAGGACTCATGACAAAGATTCATGATTTGAAGAGTTTTAAGGAATAAAAATAGAAGGTACGAAAGGGATAAGTGAGACCTTGGTGCAAGTGTCAAATTCTCTTTTTTTAAGAAGTGTGTGGTATAAAGGTTTAAAACAGGTGTTGTGTGTTCCAAAACAATTGTTAGAGGTAGAGGTGTTTCTACACAGGGCACAATATTCCTGTATGGAGGTGCACTCATGATCACGTTTTTAATGGTTTTATCATGCATTGTAATCATAACCAATGTTAGCTATTATTTTTATTGTTTTTTATTCAAAGTGAGCAGCATGCTCTGTTATGAAGAGTACATATGCTGCTAACGTCTTGGGTGACAGTATTTAATCTATTCATAATGGCTTACTCTTTTGGATTGTCGTCTAATTATTTACAGTTATTAAAGAAGACACTCATGGAACACTTGAGAATACCAATCTTGAAACTTTTTTCTTTTTTTTGATATATTACCAATAGAAAACAGTTTCATGTTTGCCTCAAGATCAAATAATGAGAAGTTTGCACATAACCTTGCTTGCTGATCAAAGTAGAGTTCACTGCTGAGACCCTGTCAGAATGTGTAAAATGTGGGTTGCAAAACGCCATTCATGATCGTATGTATAAGCTCCAGCCGTTACTTAAAAGCGAGATGTACATGTAACCAAAAAAAGCAGATAGGTTAACACTAACCAGAGCAAGCTAAAGGTCTTCCATTGCCCTTTTTCTCATGTTTCCAAATCATTCTTTAAAGAAGGCTTTAGAATACTTGTTAATATAATTTGCTGCATTTTGTATATATGTTTTGAATAGCTGTCATGTAAATAACTTTTGGTTTGTTTACTAAAAACTGGGATTAGAATGTTTTTTTCTGTTACAAATACCATGCTTTTCATGCTTGTGCTTTTTTCCCTGTTTGTTTGATATTATGCCATATATTTATTTTAAAGAGAAGCACTGAAATTTAATAAATATTACCAGTAAATGAAATGATTTGTGTCCATTTTCCGTCCCATTTTAACTGCTTTGCAATTTCACAGTTTCATTTGCAACATGCCTTTTGATTTTGTCCTTTACCTTATTTTTCCCCTTTTGTCAAACTTAAGCAATTAGACATACCCCTCACCCCACAAAATGAGCTCTGTTTGTATATTTAACACATCCTTGCAATTTTAACATCTGAGCATAGCAGGGTGTGCGTTCTGAAAGCTAAGACTTGCTGTAAGTCTTGAGTGGGGAACTGCTTCAATATTTGAACTGCAGAGGGACAAGTAGAGGTTAATACTACACTGAAAAAAGAAAAGTTTCAAATATGGAGTGTTTTTCCTATTTCCTTTTACTTTAAAGGGAAAAATTAACTTTGAACTGTTTGTAAGCCTGGTAATATTGTCAATACAATTTTGGACCTTCTAAAGAGCATTTATACACCAGTTTTAATCTAATCTATTTTAAGAATTGGTCTCTACTTGATAAATATGAGTATTTAGGATATAACATCTAAAGAAACGACCACAAAAACCTGTTACGTGTTTGGGAGGTAGGGATTAAATTGAAAAAACACTTACAAGCTTCATAAAATAAAGTTAATAATTCTAATGAACATTCTGAGTAACTGTTTCTACTGACATTAAAAACAAAAAGGTATGAATTTTATGTGGGGTCTTAGATGTTGGTCGTGGCAGCGCACTGGCTCTGTGGCTAAGGATCTGCGCCTGTGGCTGGAAGGTTGCCGGTTCGTATCCTGTGGCCGGCAGAGGAATCCTACTCCATTGGATCCCTGAGCAAGGCCCTTAACCCCAACTGCTCCAGGGACGCCATATAAATGGCTGACCCTGCGCTCTGACCCCCAGCTTCTCTCCCTGTCTCTGTGTCTCATGGAGAAAAAGTTGGGGTATGCAAAAAGACAAATTCCTAATACAAGAAATCGTATATGGCCAATAAAGTGATCTTATCTTATTAAATAGAACATGTCCTCAGGTCTTAAAATGCAGACTCTTTGGCATGTACAGTATGAGAACACAAAAATCCAGCGAGAGAAATACACATTCTGTCTTATTCATATTCACACTTGGTTCATTCAAGAAGGTGTGATTGGTAGATGTACCAGAAAGTACATGATGTTATAGCCTCTGGTTTTTTGACAAATGTGTTCTACATCACTAGCCATGTGGAAATATGAAGATCAAATGCACAGCAATGCCAATATCTATGGAAACCACCAAAGACAAACCAAGCCAAGGAGACAGCAGCTGAGCTATGAATTGTTGAATATTTTCTAAAGTTCAGGACTATACTGAGTGAGACTGGGCTGGTGGACAACTGTCAGTTTTTAACAGAAGATGTTAAGAAAAATGAAGTGTAAGTACATTGTTAAGCTTTATATTTTTTTCAACTTATTTTTTCAAAGTGTTAGTCTTAACCGTGATTTTTCTAAAATAAATTCATAAACTGCTACGAGGGTAAGGTCACGTTGTGCCTTGGTCAGTACTATTAACCGTTTCTGAAGTCACTTTTTAAAATGTATTTGAATTCCAAAGATTTGTCCAAAGTTATGTGCTGTGTAAATGTAAATATCTGAAATATAGCTAAATGTTTTACAATACAGCTAAAAGTTTTCTTTAAAACTTGCGCTTCATGAGCACGTCACAGCAGGAGATTATAGATATTGCAGGTTAATTTTTGATTTTGGCAACCTCTTGCAGTTTTCTTCACAGTTGTTTTAATGACTGGATATTTTAACTTCACAAGTTGTGCCGACTGCGTTCTTGAATCAGACTACATGTACATCTGCAAAAGAATACCACAAAGTAAGTCTGCATGATTAAAGAACTCTTTACTAATAAGATTTTGTAGTGAATCCTGAGTAACTGCTTCTTGCAAACGTAAACTGTATGTCTTCTCCCAAATTGTTTTAAGTCTGTCTTAAATACAATTTGTTTAGAGTAATAATTTTTACGGTGTTAATTCTGTCGTTTATGTACTATGTAGAAATCAGCTTTTTGCTCAATTATTAGAAATATGTCACAGGGCAATAGAAAAGGAGGTTCTCTGCATATACTGTATATTAATATCTTTTGATGACTGAAACTAATGTAAAAAAAATATTGTAATGCAGATTTGAAATACAGTATGTGTTCAATTAAGAAATGTGCCACATAGAGGCAAGTCTAAAAAGGTCATGTTTTAACCTTTTTTCATTTTTCTCATTCCAGACTACCTTCCTGGTATTTCCTCTGTTGTGTTTATAGGCAGTGACATTGGGGTGATTAACTCATCTGTGTTCACCAGTCCCAGTTTGGCTTCTGTTTCTAGCCTGAGCTTGGGAAAAGCTGGCATCACTCAGATTCAAACTGGTGCTTTCAGATCCTTCCAGCAGCTGAAGAAACTGAACTTGTATAGCAACAAGTTGACGCAAATCAGCAGTTCATGGCTCTCCAGACCAGACATCCTGGAGAATCTAACCATATTCGAAAACGAGGTCCAGAAAATTGATGTGCGGACGCTGTCTGAATTTTCTAACCTGATAGCCCTCAACCTGGCTAGAAATAAAATTGCTGAAATAGCCAGTGGCAGTTTTCAGGAGCTCCACAAATTGGCTGTTCTGGACCTTTCTGGGAACAGGCTGTCATACGTAAGCAAAGAAGCTTTTCGTTCATTGCGGTCCACCAAGCTGAGGCTCGATGGGAATCCATGGGACTGTTCCTGTCAGCTGAAAGACTTCAGAGAGTTTCTTCAAGGTAATGGAAATTTGCTTTTAGAGGTTTTTTTTAAGGGATTCACACGTTATAATGTGATTAGAGCTATGAAAAGATGTTTTATTCTTGGATCAAAGACTGTTTCAGTTCTGTAGTGCCCGAAACACCTTACCTTTTCAAAAATGTACTTCAATAAATTTAAATAGCAGTCACATAGCAGATGGCCTGCAATTTGAAGGCATGCATGAGTCAGCAAGGGTGATAAAACTGAACTGAGTAAAATTAGTTTTTTCATTATTATACGTTTAATCTAGCTGGATCGCACCTTATGGTTCGACTAGTTGACAGCAGCCGTTGTTGAAACATAGGTTCATCTGGTTGCTTATATCAGGTCAGGCGTTTCTGCTGCCAAATGCTGGACTGTAATCTGTGAAATCTGCTTTTGGGTTCTCTGAAATTAATGAAGGAATATTTCTTTTCTTTCAGATATGATAAATGCTTCTTTACTTGAAAATTATTTGGATGTGACCTGTGAAACTCCACCTGCTTTAAAGGGCACACCTGTATGGAACATTTCTGAGCTGAACTGCTTATCTCAGAGTACACCCAAACCTCTCTTGGAGCCCCTTCTCAATATAGGAGTCCCTATTTTAATGGGCATCCTGGGTAAGGGTCTTACGTGTTTCTCTTGTAATTCCAATCTGACTGAGGCCTGCACAGGACCTGACAGAGTAAAGATTCCTGCAAGCTTAATTGGAAATAGTTGCAAAGCGATTTTATAGACTGTAATAGGCTCTCATACCATCTCTTGTTTGCAGTCTAAATTGTACCTTCAGCTTTGCTTCCAGGAGGTCTGCTAAACAAGTGCTGACTGAGTCCAGGCCTAATTACTCCTGGTCAAAAAGCATCATGCCCTTGACGTTCTGGCAGTAGTCCAGAGATGTGCACTGCAGTGTAAATTTTTTGAAGCACCAGGTTTACCTCCCAGGGTTGGACATCAGAGCAATGAGAAAACCCAAACTGCTGCTTCATTTTACCTGGTGTTTTACATTTAATGGTAATGCAAATGAGATCTATTTTAAAGGTTTAAATGAGCTATCATTCACTGATTGTAGCCAGCTCTCTGCTCAGTCAGTAATCATGTAAAAAATGACTGCATAGAAAGTGCTGTTCGTCACAGCTGCATCCCAGCAATAAAAAAAATGTGTTGGTGATTTACAAACCTGCAACAGAACTGCACGCATCACATAGCAGGAAAATGCAACTTGGGTTAAGCTACCACTCCTACCTCATGTACATGTTTATAAAGGATTAAATATTATGAAAGAAAGGAAATGCAGCCCAAAGACAGTTCATGGGAGGCTCCATCCTTCATGAAGGACCGAAAGAAAGAGAGATGACAGGAGCTCAATGTTGTGCATGGTTCTGTTTTTCAGCCATCCTCTGTTGTGTCGTGTGCCTCGCTTTTCTGTGCAAACGAAATCAAGAAAAAAAACAAGTGAACCCAGGCGGAGGAAGACGAGAGGAGCCAGGACTTCCCAAGGCCAGGCGAGCTGTGAACGTAGCGGCGTGCCAGCCAGGAAAGTCCCCGCAAGGGCCCGACGCTCACAGGAGCGGGCTGAAGAAAGGTCGGGCCAAATCGGCCTGTGCAGTGCTCGTGAGATCCCCACTTCCAGAGCACAGTCTCCGGAAGGAGGAGGAAGAGGCCGGAAACAAAGGCCAAACCAATTTTCAGGCTGTGTATTACTGTACAGCCATAGCTCCAGGAAATGGAAGAAGAACTAATGAAACTGACAAAATGACGGAGGTGAGAGGCGGAGGCGGAGAGGGACCTAATTTCCCACCATCTGGACCAAAAGGCATCACAGCCACCAGCCCTAATTATTTGTGTGAAGACAATATGCAGTGTCAAACTAAGATCGGGAATGTATCCTTCACTGTGGAAAATCCCCATTCACACGAGTTAGTTACTGAAACAAACCAGTGTTCTCATGGAGATGAAAACTTACCTTATCTAATCATTAACACCCAACCAGCCAAACTCAACGTTGAATCCATGGTTCAGTGCCACCCGTACCCCACAAATAAACCAGTGCTCTTTAACCCTGTAAGGGTTAAGAGGATGTCAACCTGGCCCCCAGCAGCCACAGAGTGGAAAAACAATCAAGTGGATAAAAGTGATGTCCAGAAGTATTTTCTGAAGCAAGAAGAAGAATCTGAAATGGAGCACAACAAGGAGGGCCGTATAGTAGTTTTCTCAATAGGAAATGATACCCAGAAGGCATTGCATGCAGACAGAGCAAAGAAGACATTGCAAGGAGGCGAGGCCCAGAAGGCATTGCAAGGAGACGAGGCCCAGAAGGCATTGCAAGGAGGCGAGGCCCAGAAGGCATTGCAAAGAGGCGAGGCCCAGAAGGCATTGCAAGGAG